AGAGAGAGAGAGAGAGAGAGAGAGAGAGAGAGAGAGAGAGAGAGAGACCCACAGAAGAGTCTTTCTAAGGGAGCCTCCTGCTGATTACATAGCAATGCAGAATCTAGTGTGACCCACCAAGGGTGTTTCATGACCAAGGAGGGAGAAACAGCTGGTCACATGCAAAAATGTGAGACCAATTCTGGGACTTTCAGCTTGGTCCCAGTTTGATGTTGGGTCCTCCTTCCTGAGGGGGACTTTGCGTGAGCCTAGCTCCCCCTCCCCCACTTCGTCCCCTCTCTGCAGGAAAGGAAGGAAGACGATGGGGCGAATCATCTTTCTGAGCTTCAGCTTGCTGGTCGTGGCCTTCTTCCTAAGTGGTGAGTTTGAAAAGGGTCTCTCGTATCTGGAGAGGTCGGGTCTCTTGCCTCTGGACCCCTTTATGGTTCGATCCCCGAGAATCCTCTCTCTGAAGTTGCTTTTTATTTCTGTTTTGCTTATTGTGCTGGCTCCTACTTAAGTGATTATCCACTAGGAGTCCAAGAGCTTCTTGCTACTACTACCTTGGAGCCTGACACCACCTATTCTACACCTGTGCATTTGGTTTTTTCTTTCCTAAATGTAGAAATGTACTTTTCTCACCACTGAATTTCATTTTGTTAGATGAGGCCCAATGTTCAAATCTGATGAGCTTCTTCTGTATCTTGAAGTGTTCTTGGTGAAGATTCTCAGTCATCCAGGTCATGGTTGTCCCAAAGATGCTTTTTTCAGGAGGCAACTGGACTTTCTTGTTTTTTCTTTAAAGACGTTTCACTTCTCATCCAAGAAGCGTCTTCAGCTCTGACTGACTCACCCTTCCCTTCCCCACCATCCAGTCAGAGCTGAAGACGCTTCTTGGATGAGAAGCGAAACGTCTTCAAAGAAAAAACAAGGAAGTCCAGTTGCCTCCTGAAAAAGCACCTTTGGGTGCTCTGTATCTTGAGCCTATATCTTCTGGAGTGTTGGCTATTCTACCCAGCTTGGTGTCATCTGCAAATTTGATGAGCTTCCTTCTATCCCCTAGTCTAAATCGTTTATGAATGATAAACCATCCAACCCATAAACCATCATTTATGAATGGTAAGCTGAATGATAAACCATCCAAAATGGATAGATCAACACAAGGCATGCAGCTTCAAAGAATTTAACCAAGGTTCACCCTAAGAAAAGCTTTGGACAATCTACAAATGCAGCTCCTGTATCTAACCCAAATCAATTTTGGTTTATTGTCATCGAAGATGTATGCAACTTAGCAGGTTAAGAATGTTCTACAGACCCAGAGGTCTCCTCCTCTTCCTCCTCCTCCTTTTCTCCTGGCCATCTTCTGATTGGACTTCCTCTCTTCCCACACAGGTGCCAAAGGGTGCTGTTGTCCCCATGATTGGCTTTCCAGGAATGGGTTTTGCTACAAGATCCACGATCAACTGAAGACCTGGAAGGATGCAGAGGTTAGAAGTGCTGTGTGACCATGAATATTCTAGTCCAAGTGGAGAAGACGAGGCAGAGCCTTGTGAAGCACCCAAGTATCCTCTGGCTGGGTTGAAGACCCATCAAGGGAGATCTGGATGGGCGCATGAAGAGTTGCCTTGTGGCGAGATGGGCAGCAAACAAATGTAATAAATAAATAAAATGAAAAGGTAGCAAAGATCATAAGTTTGGAATAAACCAAAATGCAAGTATCATATGGACTAAATTCATATTCAAATTCAGAATAGAGCTGGAAGGGACCTTGGAGGTCTTCTAGTCCATCCCCTGGCTCAAGCAGGAGGCCCTTTACCATTCCAGACAAATGGCTGCCCAGTCTCTTCTTAAAAACCTCCAGTGATGGAGCCCCCACAACTTCTGGAGGCAAGCTGGTTGCACTGGTTAATTGTTCTCACTTTGTACTGTATAGGCTTTCATGGCCAATATCTGTTGGGTAGGGTTCAGCTTCAAGGTTGAGTGACTATCTTGTAGATGTCAGATTTTCTGATCTTACACTGGCAACTCTGGCTGTCATCTTAAGACCATCTTGCCTTTGAGTTTAACTGATGGATCAAAGTCAGGAACTCAAGTTCTCTGCTCTCCTCTTGTGGCTAAGCAGAACTTGACAGAGAAGGTCTGGTTGCCATGTCCTGACTTGGTTAGTTATCCAGGTTACAACCTGCAGACTCCAGCAAGGACATCTATGGGATTCAACAAAGATGGTAGCCAGGACCATATAATCAGATCACTCCTGTTTCCTCCCATGCACAAACACGAACACACAAATGTGTTCCTTCTCTGCTGAATAAGTGTCTTTCTCTGTTGTTGCTCTTCCCAGATGTTCTGCAGGAAACACAAGCCAGGCTGCCACCTCGCCTCCATCCACAATATGGCAGAGTCAGCTGACTTGGCCGAGTACATCTCTGACTATCTCACAAAGAAGGGGAATGTCTGGATTGGATTAAACGATGCACAGAAGGTGGGTCCTTTCTATCGTTCATATTTATCAATCCCTTTTACAGAGCTTTTTGAAGGATCCTCCCATAGATCTGAACTAGACTGTGTTGTTTCTCCTTGTCATATAATATATGTGGGTACGTGCATAATTTTGTATTTATTTATTCATTTTGTCGTGATTATGTAGTGTATATTGGAGGTGAAGTCCCTTTGAGAGCTGTATGTAATGAAATTTCATTTTAGTGTATGCCGATTAGTGTACATTCAAAGTGACAATAAAGTTAGTCTAAGTCTCTAAGAAGGTCGGGATCTCTCTGCCAAAATACCTCGCCTTGGACAAAACCTCTGGAAAATGTTACTTACTCCAATCCTGTCTCTCCTTCCCCTCACTAACCTTTCCTGCCCAGTTGAAGAACTGACAGCTGTCTTTAACAGTTCCCGCTCTGACCCCCATCTCAGCATCCAGGCCTTGTCTCACACTCAGCTCCCCCTTCAGTCTGCCTTCCTCTTGAGGGCCCATTGACTGGCCTCTGAAGCTTCTTGGATCTCTGGTGAGCCATTAACATGGTGGGGTTCATTCCTTCCCCCTTGATCTATATCTCCGGAGTTTTGCTGGTGGTCTCCCACACAAGGGCTCTTTGATTTTGAGCCTAATTATCTTTCTGATATCAACCCGTATCGGCCAGGGCTGTCACCAAGTTGGGCATGAGGCAATGCGGCTCTCAAGCTAAACTGGTGACTTCATGGACACCTAAAGATAATTTACTTCTGAGTCATTTTTTTCCTCCGGATCTTCTGATCCTCACCTATACGAGCATTCACCAAGTTTAACTCTGCTTCATTGTTCCAGATCAACTACAATTGTCTGGATAGATGAGAAAGAGAGAGAGGGAGGGAGATCTGTTTTTTATTACCCACTTGAAACTCTCCACCCATGGTCCCTGCAGAACCAGAGCACCTTCCTTAGTTGGCTTCTCTGCCCTTACAGAAACGTGTCTGGGAATGGACAGACAGAACCTGCATTGACTACTTATCCTGGAAACCAGGAGAGCCAAACAACGAATTGGAAAAAGAGTTCTGCGTTGAGCTCAGGGCCGACTTCGGTAAGCCAAGGTGATGGGGAGGAAGGGGAAGATGTCCTCCTCAACAATGAGGACCTATTGATGCATCTTGGAACATTCACCGGTTGGCAACTGATGACCTTTGACGAACAAAAATCAAGGCCATTTATTGATCCCTTGGATTCTAAGTTCTCACAGGCCAACCCAAACACAACACAGTCCAGTACGGCCAAGTGAACACAGAATTCCCATGGGACACTTCTTCTGTGCAAGCTACGATGTCTAACGGAAGGGCCTATTTGCAAGCCAATATACTGGTACCCATCCAGGGGTGTCCTTAGCACATGGTTAAAAAAAGGTCACCATAGGGGCCATGACAGTGAAATCAAAGCCCCACCCCCACCCCCAATTTTCAGCTCTTTGGTCGAAAGAGATGGACCAAAAACTCAAGGTCGCTGCTCTCCTCTTGTAGCTAAGCAGAATCTGACAGGCAAGGTCTGGTTGCCATGTCCTGACTTGGCTAGGTTAGTTATCTAGGTTACAACCTGCTGAACCCCAAGTCTGTTTTAGCAGAAGAGGTTCTCCACCTGGGGTATCCTCGTGTCCTCCTGCCAATGAGGGAGAAGCCAGTGAAATGAGTCACTTCGAAAGAGGGATCAAACTTTCTCTTTTGCCCCCAGATCATAAGCAGTGGAACGATGTAGACTGTGCATCCTTGCGTGCTTTTATCTGCCAGTGCAAATACTAGTGCAAGCAGCTCCTTTGCCTGCTCCAGAGTGAGTGAAGCACTTGCTGAAGCCTGGAGAATCAAGGAAGCCCCCCTGCATGCCAAAATCTCTGCTCTGCTGCACCCCTTCGCTTCATGAATGCTTTTTGTAACTTGCATCTGACTTTGCTCATTCTGGTGGGCCAGAAGATCCAATAAATTCTGTCTTGGTATGACCGGCCTCCTTTATTTTTGAGCCCCAGGAGATGGTTGAGGTCTAAAGTGCAAGACCCCAGAATGCAAGCCTTGGCATTAAAGTGGGGGAGGGTGTCTCTTAAGAAGGACCATCCATTGATGCTATGATGCTTTCTTCTTCTATGTAGGTCAGCCTCTTTTCTCAAGCATCTTCCATAAGGAAAATTGGGGGACAATAATAATATTTTCTGCTCCCCTGTCCAATGCCCACACATCTGCCTAGGGCAGATCAGGAAATGTCTCCCAAACACACACACACCCCGAAATGACAGGCCCCTGCATATCAAAAGGAAGCCACCCCTTATGATGACACAAATTGACCCAAAGTATGGCTGCTACGATCATTAGAAACCATTATTACTGTGTGGAGACTGAGAGCCTTTGGTCCTCCACAAAGTGGGAGGACTGTTGAATGGTAAAATCCCCTGGGACATCTACCACCACCACCACCACCTCAAGCCAGGTCGCACATCAACCACAACCTCAAAATAAGATAGAAATAAACAATTAAACTTTTTCCGCCTGCATTGATATAGTACTTGGGCTGCAGTTGATTAAACGTGTCTCTGCAGGAAATGGAATCCTCTCAAAATAAGGGAAATCTTTTATTGCCATAGTGCTCCCTGATGCTTGAACCCTCATAAATTTTCACACCAAGAAGAGATTTGCACATCTAAGATCAATGCACACCACAGGACAAAAAAAACATAGAATATAGAATAATAGAATAATAGAGGTCTCCTAGTCCAACCCCCTGCTCAATAGAATTGAATAGAAACAGAATTCTTTATTGGCCAAGTGTGATTGGACACACAAGGAATTTGTCTTTGGTGCATACACTCTCAGTGTACATAAAAGAAAAATAAAATATATTCATCAAGAATCATAAGATACAACACTTAGTGATAGTCATAGGTTACTAATAAGCAAGCAAATCATACTAGGAAACAAATAAAAACAATATAAATCGTAAATATCCAATCAACATGGTTATAGTCATAAGTGGGAGGAGATAGATAGTAGTAAGGGTGAGAAGAATAATAGTAATACAGTCTTAGTAAATAGTTTGACATTGTTGAGGGAGTTAAGTTGTTTAGCAGAGTGATGATGTTCGGGAAAAAACTGTCCTTGTGTCTAGCTGTTCTGGTGTGCAGTGCTCTATAGCGTCGTTTTGAGGGTAGGAGTTGAAACAGTTTATGTTTCAATTTATACATAAATTTATGAAATTTATGAAATTTATGAAGCATAAATAAATTTATGTTTCAATTTCAAAAATAGGAGACCCTATATCATTTGAGACAAATGGTTGACCAGCCTCTCTTGAAAAGCCTCCAGTGATGGAGCCGCCACAACTTCTGGAGGCAACCTGTTCCATTGGTTGATTGCTCTCACTGTGCCCCACACTCTCGGCTCATATTGAAGTGATTGTCCACTAGGATTCCAAGATCCCTCTCACAATTACTGGCATTTAAGCCAAATTTCACCCAGTCTATAGTTGGTTTTTCTTTCTCGTCTTCTACATTTGGCATTCTGACCTTGTAATGTTGTAATTGCTGGACTGTCAAAATTATACTGTCAAAATAAATCTTACCACCAGTTTAAGCCGGGGTCGTGGGCTTATTCATCTGACAGTGGAATGGACAAGGAATTTACTTCCAACAGAGCTATAATGAATGACAAAGGTATGATAGAATTCAGTCTAAATCTTAGTTTCTCTAATGCCCCGATTTTAACTTTTAACTTTTTGCATACACTCCCAGCATCCTTTGCTCATCCTTTCCAGGACCCCCACGGCTTGGGACGTGCACTCTGAGTAAAAGCACTCTGACTAAAAGTTCGCTCAGACTTTTATCTGAAATGTTTCTTGGTTAATTACGACATATCAATCTTCGTTATTTCTTTCACAAGGTTGGTGTTGTCACACTTGATGGATTATGTTTTTCACTTTTGGCACAAGATTACATGTGTCGTTGTACAAGTTTACTCATAACAAAATATTCCTAACTGTATCTCATGTCGGAAGTTTCTTGCTCTGCACCTGGGGCTCATTTGTCAGTTTCGCAAAGAAGCCAGCAAAGAAAAGGGAAGCTTACACAATAATTTAAACAGTTCTTGCTTTTGGTGGCGTGTTTCTACATGTTTTGATTATTTCCTGGCTGACTCAGTGTAGAGGATATTTTTAGTCTTTTCCTTTCTCCTTTTTTTTTTTTGTTAGCCAAGAGGAAAACCACAAAACCGCAAACCAGCAGGGGGCGCCCTCCCTGAACTGTCCCTGACCTGCTTTTTCTGGGATTCCTAGAGGGCACTTTGCTGTGGCTTCCCCAGGATTTAAAGGGGACTTTCCCTATTTCATTATTTCATGTTCCTCATTGTTTTATATTCTTAAGCAATCAAGCTGTCAATGCCAGCATGCTCTCCGTTCAATTTGGAACAAGCCACTTTTTTTCCCCAACAGAAACTGGCAGTGATTTTTAGATAATTCATTTTATTGTTTTAAAATGCTTTAAGTATTTTGATTGTTATAGACAAGTTAGCACCCACCCTCTCCTAGAAGAATGAAATATTTTAGGAACTATTTAAAAAGGCAGAATATATTTCCCTGGATGAGAAATGGAGAAACATGTTTTAAAGACAAAGCAGCTTCCTGCCTCCCCCCACCTTTCTCAATGGACCAGCATCTGCAACACAGTAGGACCAGTGGTGGGTTGCTCCCGGTTCGCACCGGTTCACAAGAACCAGTAGTAAAAATTTGCAGTAATTTGGAGAACCGGTAATAACATTGGCTGGCCACGCCCCCGAACCGGTCCCCAGCCTGGTCGCTGCTCGCTTACCCCGCCCACTTCATCAGTACAACCTCTTTGGCCGAAAAAAATGCTTTTAAAAGTAAAAAAAAAAGCCTCTGATGATCATGCGGCTCAGCTGAGATCATCAGAGGCTTTTAAAAGCATTTTTTCTACAATCTCTTCGGCCGAAGAGGTTGTAGGGGAAAAAATGCCTTTCAAAGCCTCTGGTGATCCCAGCTGAGTTGTCTGATCGTCAGAGGCTTCTAAAAGCATTTTTTTCTGCAACCTCTTAATGACTTTTTATGTCATTGTTGTTTTTGTGTCAATTTTTAAATTTTCTTTGTTGACCTCCCCTCCTTAATCTTCTCTCTCCCTCCCTCCCCCCCTCCATATATATATATATATACATACGGCCTCATGGAACCTACAAGCAAATACAAAGCTTTTCTCCTGTAAGTGCTGATAATCAAGGTATTTTGACTGTGCAGGCAACACGTCATGGCTTGTAAAACGTTTGATAACCACATTTTCATTGCCCCAGAAGCAAAATACCCTCTATCAAAAAGCAAACACTATAACCAGTTTGTGTTTATGCAGTTTTATTGTTCCTGTGTAAGGTGTATTTTGGCTGACGATGTCATTGCTTTCCTACTGTTGATTTTTACTTGTTAATTGTGTTGGAACTGTGGAGGATTGTGATAAAAGTTTTCTTTGTTTGCCTATCAATTTCTGCCAGGACTGACCTTGTCTTCTTCTTTGGTGAAGGTCCACATAGCATCTGTGGGTTGGAACAAACTTCTCCACTTCTGGAGAAGCCCTGGTGATCAGGCCTGGACACAGCCTGAAATGGCATTGGTCAAATTTGGAGAGTTTGGGATGGGAGGTGCTACAACTATTTTCCACCTCCAGGACTTTTCAGTGGCTTCTAATACATTCAACTATAGCATCCTTCTGGGCCAACTTCTGGAGTTGGGAGTGGGAGACAACCATGGAGAGAGAGAATTTTGCACACATTTGTCTGGTGCACCAATTGCTCCCCTTCCTGGACCGGGAGGCTCTGCTCATGGTCACTCAGGTCTTGGTCACCTCCTGTTTGGATGACTGCAGTGTGCTATCCATCAGGCTGCCCTTGAAGACTATCCAGAAGGTACAACTGGTCCAGAATGCAGCAATGCACAAAATGATAGTTTCTCCTAGATTGGGCCATGCAACCCCATGGTGGCATGAGTTGCTCTGCCTCCTAGTTTCCTTTCAGGTGCAACTCAAGGTGCTGGTTGTTACCTTTAAAGCCTTCTATGGCACTGAGCAAGGTTATCTAGATTAACAGATTAATAGAGTTGGAAGGTGCCTTGGAGGTCATCTAGTCCAACCCCCCACCCAAGCAGGAGACCCTACACCATTTCTGACAGAGGGCCGTCCAGTCTCTTCTTGAAAGCCTCCAGGGATGAAGCTCCCACAACTTCAAAAGGCAACTTCTGTTCCGTGGGTTGATTGCTCTCACTGTCAGAAAATTCCTCCTTATTTCCAGGTTGAATCTCTCCTTGGTCAGTTTCCATCCATTATCCCTTGTCTGGGCTTCAGGTGCTTTGGAAAACAGCTTGACCCCCTCCTCTCTCTGGCAGCCCTTCAAATATTGGAAGACTGCTCTCCTGTATCCCCTGGCCCTTCTCTTCACTAGCCTAGCCAGGCCCAGTTCCTGCAACTGTTCTTCATGTGTTTTAGCCTCCAGTCCCCTCATCATCCAGGTTGCTCTCCTTTGCACTTTTTCTAGAGTCTCAATATCTTTTTTATAGGTGTGGTCTTATTAGGGCTTTATAGAGTGGTATTAGTACCTCCCTTGATCTTGATTGTATCCCTCTGTTAATGCACTTTAGGATTGCATTGGCTTTTTTGGCTTCCACCACACACTGCTGGCTCATATTTAGCTGGTTGTCCACTAAGACTTCAAAATCCCTCTCAGTCACTGCTATTAAACCTGGTTTCACCTAGTCTATATGTGTGGCTGTTGGTTTTTCTTACCTAAGTGTAGGACTTTACTTTTCTCTCCACTGAATTTCATTTTGTTAGATAGGTCCCAGTGTTCAAGTTTATGTTGATCTCTTCCTATAGACCTCAACCCATCCTATCAGTTAGGAGGGCAAATTCCTAGTCCCTTCCCTTAAACATTACATATTATGGACTCTAGAAAGTCTGGCTTTTTGCTGGCAGCCCTTGTCCCGTGGAAGTTCCTTTCCCCTTGGATTTCGGCAGGTCTCTGCTCCCCTGGCCCTCCAAAAATCAGGTAAGATTTTCCCACAAGTGCTGGGACAGGATGAGGCCTGAACGAGGGACAGCATGCAGAAGGAAGCTTCAGGTTGGTGCCAGGTTTTTGCTCCTAATAGATACCTGTCTGTTACATTGCTGTATTATTGATGTTGGTTTAATTATTGATTGGTAGACACCCAGAGGAAAGTACAAGATGAGCAGCTATGTAAATGTTTTAAATAAATACATAAAATACATCTGATTAAACCCCCAGGGATACGACTTATGTGTGCTTAGCCTGTTGCTGAAAGTTGTTGCAAGAAAGCTACATCCTGGTTGTTAGGCAAAAATTTCCACACACACCCAAAGAAATCCATCCTCCTGCCTTTCCTTGCCTATAAATGCCTCTGTTCCCTTTGCTGGAGGGAAGCCTGGAGTTGCCACTGAGCAGACTTGCTACCTGTGGAGGCAAAGGGACAGGTGAGTGCGGCTCTCCCACCTGTGGACACCTGACAGGTGAGGCCCCTGTAGGAGATGGTTCCTGCCTGTCTCTCTCTCTCTCTCTCTCTCCATCTGAAGGGACCTCTTGCAGGGGGCTGCAGGTGATGTCCAGGTTGCAACTGGGGGTCTGCAGGAGGGTCCCTCAGGCAGGGAGGAAGGGCTCTATTGGGGATATAGAAAGAGGGAACCTTTCTAAGGGAAGCCCCCTCCCCATTACACAGTAACACAATTCCACTGTGACCCACCAAGGATGTTGCATGGCCAAGGGATCTAGTTGGGCGAGTCCAAAACTGCCAAAGAAACTGGGGGGGGGAGCTTGGTCCCAGGTTGGATGTGAGGTGGCCCTTCCTGAGGGCCTCCCCACCCATCTCATCCTCTCTTCCCCTTCTCCCCTCTTTGCTTCTCTCTGCAGGGAAGGAAGGAAGACCATGGGGCGATTCTCCTTTCTGAGCTTCGGCTTGCTGGTTGTGGCCCTCTCTCTAAGTGGTGAGTTCAAGCAGAGTCTCTCCTGTTTGGAAAGACTCTTGCATATGAATCCCTTCCTGATTTCATCCCCCAACATCCTCTCACTGAAGTTGCTTTTATTATTGTGCAATTTAGACCCCACTGTATCTCTCTGTTCCAAAACTCAGAACTGTTTGCACAATTAACACAATTGAAATACATAATAAATTAAAAGTTAAACCCTTGCAAAAGATACATCCATTTATCATTAAAAATACAGGGCCCTCTTCATCTTTACCCTGGGGATTAGGCTCTATGGCAGCCACATAAAAGTTGGCCTTCCCTTCTCTCACGGACTAAGAGCTGAGCATCCAGAGGGGCACCTGAAGAGAGGCGTCTGCTGGGCGGTGGGGAGCAGGGGGAGGAGTCCCACAAATAATCAGCTGTTAAGCCATTTAGGGTTCGGCAGTTTTGGGGCATCCAGGAGTAGAGTGGAGTTCCTTCTGGACAGGCCCATGTGGCTGCCCCATACTTTGCATTGCTTGATAGCTTGGCTGATGCCTTCTGCAGCACTTGCAATTTCAGGAGACTTTCAAAGGTGGCCCCACATCAACCAGGTTGCAGTAGTCTAGATAGGTTGGAGCTAAAGCGGGGTAATTGTTGCTCGGTCTGACTGGCTAAGGAAGATTCAGAGTTGGCACCAGAGTTCCAAGTGTGCAAACAGGCTTAATCTGGTTTTTTTTTTCTGGCTTGGCATGCTTAAATAAATGCTAGAGCAACCAAAGTGACAAATTAACACAAAACATGCAAAAAGAGCCGTGGTGGCACAGTGGTTACAGAGCAGTACTGCAGGCTAATTCTGCCCTCTGCCAGCAGTTTGATTATCACCGGCTCAAGGTTGACTCAGCCTTCCGTCCTTCTGAGGTCAGTAAAATGAGGAGCCAGATTGTTGAGGGAAAGAGGCTGACTATGTAAATCACTTAGAGAGGGATGTAAAACACTATGAAGCGGTACATAAAGCTAAATGGTGTTGCTAATTTCCAGGAAATTAACCAAACCTAACCCAAAAATGCAGGCTCTGTGCTCAGAACCCAAGTCAATTTCAATTTACAGTCATCCAAAAAGTTTGTAATTCAGCAGGTTAAGCATTCTCTGCAGACCGAGCTGTCTCCTCCTCCTTCTGCTGGCCATCTTCTCATTGGGGTTCCTCTCTTCCCACACAGGAGCCAGAGGCTGTTGTCCCCATGAATGGTTCTCCAGGAGTAGCTTTTGCTACAAGGTCTTCGATGAAGCAAAGACCTGGGAAGAGGCAGAGGTTCGAAGCGCTGGTTGTGTGTCTGTGAATCTCCTAGCTCAGGAGGAGGAGAAGTCTAGGCACAGCCTAAATTTAAATCCAGGCAGTTCTCTGGTTGGGCTGAAGTGGAGAGCCACTAGGCTGAGTGCATGAATAGGTAGCGAAGCTCATGATTTTTAGGATAGTCTGGAATGCAAATATTCTGCGGACTATGTAAGCTTTCATGGGCAGTATCTGTTGATTGGTCATTGTGGAGCTTCAAGGTTGAGTGACCATCTTCTAGACCACAGATTTCCTGATCTCTCACTGGCATCTACAGACCAGCTTGCCTGTAAAATGATGGGGGGAGGGGAAGTGCAGAGAAGTGCAACCAAGATGATTAAAGGCCTGGAGACTAAAACATTTGAAGAACCACTGCAGGATTTGGGCATGGCCAGTCTACAGAAAAGAAGGACTAGGGGAGACATGATAGCAGTCTTCCAATATATGAGGGGCTGCCAGAAAGAAGAGGGGGTCAATTTATTTGCCAAAGCACCAGAAGGCAAGACAAGAAACAATGGATGAAAACTAATCAAGGAGAGAAGCAACCTGGGAATTAAGGAGAAACTTCCTTACAGTGAGGACAATTAACCAGTGGAACAGCTGGCCATTGGAAGTTTTGGGTGCTTCATCACTGGAGGTTTTTAAGAAGAGACTGGAGAGTCACTTGTCTGAAATGGTAGAGGGTCTCCTGCTTGAGCAGGGGGCTGGACTAGAAGACCTCCAAGGTCCCCTCCAGCTCTATTTTGATTGATTGATTGATTGATTGATTGATTGATTGATTGATTGAGTTTAACTCATGAATCGAAGTCAGGAACTGTTGGGGAACTGCAGACTCCAGCAAGGGCATTTGCGATGTTCAACAAAGTCAAGACGGTGGCTAGGACCATGGGGAAAGATTTCCTTTTTTCCCCTCACCTGCACAAGAAAAAAACCCAACATACGTAAACACAAACACGTCTTTCTTTCCTGCTGACCAAGTGCCCTTCTCTGTTGTGGCTCTCTTGCAGAACTACTGCAGGAACTACAATCACGGCTGCCACCTGGCCTCCCTCGACAGCAAGGAAGAGTTAGAGGACATGGCTGTGCACATCTCCCAGAAATTCAAGGTCAACATCTGGATTGGATTGAGTCGTCCATCGCATGTAGGTCCTTTTCTGTTGCTCAAGTCCTTCAGGGAATCCTCGTTCAAACTCGGGTGGGCTGTTCATTTAGGGACTGCAGAGCCCGGACTTCTTCTTCTTTTATTTTGTGTAGATATTGTTCATGTTGATTACCAGCACTCTTTCACCTTCGGCTCTGTTGCGTTTTCAGTACTTGAAAAATGCTTCTCGTATAAAGGTAGTCCTCAATTTATGGCCATAACTGAGCCCAAAATTTATGTTGAGACTTTTGTTAAGTGTGTTTTGCCCCATTTTATGACCTTTCTTCCCACAGTTGTTAAGTGAATCATTGGAGTTGGTTTTTTTTAAAAGTTTTTTATTAATAATACAAAATTAAAAAAAACATCGGCCATAGATATGACATCACTGGTTCCAAACATCTTCCGTCACTTTAGAGTAATATTAGTACTCCTATAAACATACAGTTCTTAAGCTTTGTTCACTATTTAAACATAATATGATATGATATTAATACTTTTTCCCTTATTTCTGTATATTTATCTATAATAACACCTATATTTTTGTTCTAACACTATACAGTGGTTCATTGGAGTTGTTAAGTTAGTAAAATGGTTGTTAAGTGAATCCGTCTTCCCGCAAGAGTCAGCCTCTTGCCCCCAACAGTCATTTTACCAACCTTGGAAGGATGGAAGATTGAGTCAACCTTGACCTGATCAGGAACAAACTCCTGGCAGTCGGCAGAGTCAGCCTGCAATGCTACATTCTAACCACTGTGACACCACTTTTCTAAGAATTTATCCACTTATCCAAGAATTTATGAAGTTTAATCCTATTTAACTGTTCTAGATCAACTGTAATTGACTACAGATGGAGAAAAGGAGACTTAATTATCTCTTTGCTCTGAGCTTTGAAACCTGCCAACTTTTCTCTATCTGCCCCTGGGCTCTGCCGAGCCAGAGCCCCCTCCTCAATTAGCTCATGTGGCTTCCCTATCATTACAGAAAGAAGGCTGGAAGTGGAGTGATGGCTCCAAACGCAGCTACACATCCTGGAAATCAGGAAAACCCAACAACAAGCAGACGAACGAGAACTGCGTTGAGCTCTGGGCTGAGTCAGGTAAGCCAAGGTGGGGGGAAGGGGAGAGTTGAGGATGCACTTCCAACAATAAGGACCATTTCATGCATCTTGGAAAGCTCATCGCTTGGCAACTGGTGGCCTTTGGCAAACAAAAATGAAAGCCATCATTCCTTCAAAAGCTCAACATTTATGTACCAATGATTTTAGGACCATCATCTTACAATGAGATAAATAAACAAGCTATATCTTAATCTGGGATGGGATGGGATGGGATGGGATGGGATGGGATGGGGTGAGGTGGGGTGGGGTGGGGTAGGGTAGGATAGAGTAGAGTAGAGTAGAGTAGAGTAGAGTAGAGTAGAGTAGAGTAGAGTAGAGTAGAGTAGAATACAACAATTGCAATAGCAATAGCACTTAAGACTTATATACTGCTTCACAGAGCTTTCCAGCCCTCTCTAAGCGGTTTGACAGAGTCAGCCTCTTGCCCCCAACAATCTGGGTCCTCATTTTACCCACTTCGGAAGGATGGAAGGCTGAGTCAACCCTGAGCCTGGTGAGATTTGAACTGCCAAATTTCAGGCAGCCAGCAGTCAACAGAAGTAGCCTACAGTCTTGCCCTCTAACCACTGCACCACCATGGCTCATATAGGAATGGAAGGGAACGGAAGGGAAGGGAAGGGAAGGGAAGAAGAGAAGAGAAGAGAAAAGAGAAGAGAAGAGAAGAGAAGAGAAGAGAAGAGAAGAGAAGAGAAGAGAAGAGAAGAGAAGAGAAGAGAAGAGAAGAGAAGAGAAAACAGAACAGAACAGAACAGAACAGAACAGAACAGAAGGCAGCATGCTGTGGCTATTCTCACATAAGGGCCACAATGGCTATTTATGAATTGGTACATTTTGGCCAGCATATCACAAGAGCAACCACAGCATGCCGATGGCTGAGGGCCGCTTTGCAAGCCAAGTATACTGGTTCTCACACCCATCATCCAGGGATGCCCTTAGCACAGGGGGTGGGAAGGGCCCTTATAACACTCATGACTGTGAAATCGATGCTGCACCCAGTTTTGACCTGCAAAAGAGATCGACCAAAATCTCAGGTCCTTTGCTGCCCTCTTGCGGCTGAGCAGAGCTTGACAGGCAAAATCTGGTTGCCGTATCCTGATTTCTTGGCTAAGTAAGTTATCTTGCTTATAGCAACCTGCTGAACCCAAAGCCCACATTCACACATGAAGTTCTCCACCTGTGGTATCTTCATGTCCCCCTGCAATTGGCCTGGTGGCTCAGCAGACTGATAGCATTGTGATTAACACCAGCTGCCTGCAATTACTGTGAGTTCAATTCTCACCAGGCTCAAGGTCGACTCAGCCTTCCATCCTTTCTAAGGTGGGTAAATTGAGGACCCGGTTTGTGGGGGCAATAAGATGACTTTGTATAAATATACAAAAGTATGAAGGCTATTGCTTAACGCATTGTAAGCCGCCCTGAGTCTCTGGAGAAGGGCGGCATATAAATCAAATTTTTTAAAAAAAAAAAAAAGGAGGGAGAAGCCACTGAAAAGATCTTCTGGGACTCTCAGGGAGTCACTGCAAAAGAGTAACCAAACTTTATCTTTTGCTGTCCAGGTTACAAGAACTGGAACAATGAGAACTGTGCATCCTTGCGTCCGTTCTTCTGCCAGTGCTTAATCTAGTGCACATTTCTCCTGCTCCAGAGGGAGTGAAGCACCTGGTAAAGTCTGGAGAAGCAAGGAAGCCCCCCTGCCTATCAAAATCTCCGCTCTGCACCCCTTCGCTTCATGGATGCTTTCTGTAGCTTGGATCTGACTTCGCTTGTTCTCATAGGCCAGAAGGTCAAATAAATTCTCTCCAGCATGACTGGCCTCCTTTATTTTGCAGAGCCAGGAGACTGTTGAAATCCAAAGCTCAAGATCCCCAAATCTTCTGCATGACAAGACTTGGCATTCAAGGGGGAGGGGGGAGGATATCATTTAAGAAGAACCATCTTCTGATGCGATGATGCTTTCTTGCATGTCCGTCTCATTTTAATTGGAAGGCTGGGAATCTGCTTGGCCTCAGCACTATTTTTCTGCCCCCAAAGTTGATTTGTTTGCAATTCCCACTCTGTATGGAGAATCCTGCTACAAAGGGCATGGGAATAGGATGGTGGAGTGGATCCCTGAAGGTTGTGTCTTCACTAGCTGCTCTGTCAGGGCTGCAAAGATCAGAGCATCCACTGGATGGCAACAAATAGCCCATGATGCTCTCGCCCTCAGATCCCTCTAGTAGTCCAAGGCCTTAGTGGGAACCCACTCAGCTCTCCCTCTACCTATGTTGCTTCCACATTTGGGGAGAAGAGAGCCCACTGCTGAGGGATTCTTTCCACCTAACAGAATAACAAAATAACAGAGTTGGAAGGGACCTGGGAGGTCTTCTAGTCCAACCCCCTTCTCAGGCAGGAGATCCTAGGCCATTTCAGACAAATGATTGTCCAATCTCTTGTAAAAAACCTCCCGTGATGGAGCACCCACAACTTCTGGTGGCAAGCTGTTCCGCTGATTAATCATTCTCACTGTTAGGAAGTTTCTCCTTAGTTCCAGGTTGCTTCTCTCCTTGATGAGTTTCCATCTGTTGCTTCTCGTCCTACCTTCAGATGCTTTGGAGAAGAGGTTGATCCCCTTTTCTTTGGGGCAGCCCCTGAGATATTGGAAGGCTACTTTCATGTTCCCCCTAGTCCTTCTTTTCATTAAACTAGACATGCCCGATTCATCTGGCTTTTGCGTGCTTGTTTTGCTTTCGAATAAACTCTCCTCAGGTGTTGTGTGCTCATTTATCCAGTTGCAGAATGGAACGGAATTTTGTTCTAACAATTGGCAACCACAAAGGGACCCTGAGGTTAACCTGACTGATGGATCTAGCCTGGGTTTCTTCACCCGAGCCAGCATTGGGCCATTTGTCTGGAGGGTCTGGAATCTGCCCACCTCAGTACAGGTAGTAAAGAGACTCCTGGATTTGGACTGTAGGAAGTTAGCACCCACCCCTCTCCTGGAAGAGTGAAATATTTTAGGAAATATGAAAAAGGCAGAATATTATATTTCCCTGGGATAAGCATGTTTTGAAGCAGCTCCCATCTTCCTGCCCCCATCCTTTGTCAATGGGCCATGAAGGCCTGGGCCAGTCTATTCTACATAACAAAGATCTACCTCCTTCAGGCAGAAACCATAGTAGGAATTGCCGAAGATCCAACAAAGATAGCCCTCTACACAATAGCAACAGAAACTAACACAATGGGACCCATCTAGCCGAGGCTCACCACATGGCACCTGGGAAGATTGCATCAGCCAGCAAGACCCCCACCCCCTGGGAATCTGACAACCAATCAGGGTACTCTTTTGGGGCCCCAAGAAATGCAGAGCCAGAGAGAGCATAAAAACCCGAGGATTTACTGTATCTGCCCTTTTCTGTTCAGGAACTCAAGCCATGTGATCCTGTCCACCATTAAACCATCTTTCCAAGCAGTCTCCATGTTTCCAGTGTCTGTTTTCCCCACTTGGAGCAGAACCTAGAAGGATGTTTCTTCCAACAGGACAAAGCAACTTCCTGAACTGACCAAACTCTTTAAACTCTGAAAAATCTGCCTGGCCAGCGAAGTCGAGGCGAGGAGAAATTCTCTTCCTCTGTTTCCTTCTCTCTTTTTCTTCCCTAAGAAATAAGAAATCAACAAGGAGAGTTCTGGTTTTCAGGGGGTTGGGTGGGAGTGGGCTTTATCCAGATATGTCTGTACATGCATGTGGGTTTTGTCTTTCTGTCTTTCTGAACACACACTGTTCTCGTGTGTGTGTGTTTCTTTCTTCCAGCTCTACAGGGTACAAGAAAAGAAGTAAAATTTTTTTAAAAAAAAAATATTAGAATTTGGGAACCCCTAAATCTTAGACACAGCTAAGAAAATTGTGACAAGACTAAGCTAATATGAATAGACAATAGATCTTTTTTTTGTTGTTATACATTTTTTATTTTATTTTTATACATACATCAACATCAATATGTGAACAGTGTGGCATCTGGGTATCCTTCATTGTGATACAAATAACAACACTTTCATCAATAGTATTTGTTACATTGGTTAAGTTCATATACTCCTGATATTAATATTTGTATTAAGATATAATTTTTCATTATTTAATTATTCAATATTTCAATATACCATTCTAATGCCAATTACAATATTATTTAAGCTTACATAATAGTACCATCTTTCCAATCTAGTCTTTCCATTTAATTATTTCATTTATTCTATCTAGTCGGGCTTTCTTTACTAATCCTAATATAATACACATATTGTGTTATAATATAATCCATCCTAACATCACCCACCATATTATTTAAACATACATATTAAATTCATCTTTCAACCTCTAATCTTCAGATGGCTTGCATTCAGATGTTATGGGTGGTCCATCACTGGAGGTTGTTAAGAACATACTGGACAACCATTTGTCTGAAATGGTGTAGGGTAGGGGTGTCAAACTTGTGATGACACATCATCATGTGACGTATCACAATTTTTCCCCTTCACTAAACCAGGGGTGGGCGTGGCCAGCACTTGACATATCCGGCCCACAGGAGGGAGGGAGGGAGGGAGGAGGGATTTAAATATCTTGCATTATATAAAATGCCCTTGGAATCATTTCTAGAACACCAGCTACAAACTACAATGAGAAGTGAATTCTGATTTCTCTTCCTGACTAGCTACGTTTCAAGGTAGAACGAAGCTAGTCAGTTTTGCTCTCTTCCTTCCGCTGCGTCCCCCAGCCCTGGTACAACTAAATGAACCCTGTGCCAGCTAACAAGCCCCAGATGTGAGTTTTGCCCCAGAGGGTCCCTTCTCCCTGTCCTTCTAACTAACCAAGGTACATTTTCCCCCATGGGTACCACCTCTCACGGATAATGCACAAACTATGAGGATTGCTTCTGTTGTGAGAATGAGCTTCTAGACATCTCCCTTCTTGCTGCATGGACAGACATTCGGATGTCTGTCTCATTGCACCTAAACCTGTCGTGAGAGAACTTTGGGGCAGCATGATTCTCCTTCGACCACAGCTGGTCTTCAACAGGTGAGATAAGCAGCCAAGGTGAGGCAGTTTGTGGTCTTCAAAGATCTTCCTAATCATTGTGGGGAGGCATTGGCAGGGAGGGATCCGTTCTTGGGAGGGCAAGTGAAGTGGTGAGGAGCCAAGAATTCCTAGATATCTGAGTCCACCTGGCAATCTCCACTTAGGGGGGTCTCAGACATGTCAAAGACCTACTTCTCCCTAAGGGAGCCACAGGTTGAGCCACCAACAATCCAGCTTTTTTTATCCTTCCTGGAGCTTGGATTGGAAACAGCTTTGACCAAAGTGTCCTTTCAGAAGTCTCAAAGGTGCTTTTTCAAAAGTTCAACTGGACTGTTTTTTTCCTTGAGGAACTCAATCTGCCCTTTGAGGGTTGCTGTTTGTTTTCTTTTTAATTTATGTATTATATTCATTTTATTTTTTAATTTTTGTTGCCTAAGGGACCTGTGTTTATCCCAAGCATGTTTAAACTCTGTTATTTAGAATTGACCCACCACCTCTGGTGGAAGTTGGTTCCAAGCTTCTGCTACTCTTTCTATGAAGTCCAACTTTCTAGCATGACTTTTGAACTTCCCTCCTGTCCATTTGAGGTGATGCCCTTTGTGTTCTTCGTTTCTGCTTAATATTGAAAATACTGCATTCTAGATCCTTATAAACACCCTGGATATATTTATTAAGGTATTAAAGTTTCAATCATGCCCTGCTTGTCCTTCTGTCCTCCAGATAGTGCATTCTCAGCTCCTCCAATCTCAGAGGAACTGTGATTGAGCAAGGGGTTGGACTAGAAGACCTCCAAGTTCCCTTCCAAATCTGCTGTTCTGTTGTTCTGTTATTTCAGAGAAGATCATCTCCCAAAGCAGAGGGCTCTTTGGAAGGTTGAAGAAGTGTGTCCTTCTGCAGGATGATGATTCGTGAAGAAGGTGACCCAAAACCAGCTGTTTCAGGTGAAAGCATCACCTAAGGATGCCAATGATTCTAGAAGGCAGAGTTGAAGCATTGCTACTTCCTCAGCAGAATTCATGGCACTGATTTTGGGGTCTCCTAATCCATTTGCTCACTCACCTATTAGGGAGGGTCATCTGGTGGGACCCAGGAGCAGAGCCTTTTCTGCCTCAGCTCCCACCCTTTATAATGTTAGAAGAAATATCCCTCTGGCTCAGTTCCAAGTGGGGAGAAAGACACTGGAAACATGGAGGCTGATTGGAAAGATGGTTTATTGATGACAGGAGCACATGGGTTTGAGGTTCTGGGCAGCTGACCACATGGAGTTGAGAGAGGGAGAGGTATTTATACCCTCTCTTGGGCCCTTGCCCTTGAGCTTCCTGTTCCTATGCAAGAAATGTATTCTATTGGTTGTCAGACTCCCGGGGAGGGGGGGGGCTATGCAGGGGTCATAGCTAAAAAAAATTTAGGTTGTCTGAATGAAGTTTGATTGAAACCTGAACTCTCTGAGATGATGCAATGGGGAAGCTTGTGTCCCGAAACGTTGTTGGGCCATTCCTATTGTGTCTGAATGGCTTTCCTGGTTTGGATCTTGAGCGAGGGCTGATCCTGCCATTCTACCTAATTCTGCCTTTGTTCAAAATATCCTGTCTTGAATGGATTACCAAATCTGCATTTCTAAAAGCTGGCCTTAATATCTCCTTAGGGGCAGGGAACTGTGGCTCTGAGTTTCTGTCTCCCTTAAGATTTCTCTTTCTCTTTTAGGGGAAATATAATATTCTGCCTTTTTAAATATTTCTCAACATATTGCATTCTTCTAGGAGAGAAGTGGGTGCTAACTGTCTACAATAACATCACATTCCCCCCTCCCAAGTGGTTAGATTGGCTTCAACCCTGATGGACCTACAAACATGGTTATGCCAAGATGCTTGGGAATCTGGTTGTGGTTCAGACTCTACTGGACGTCTATATTCATGATTTTCACTTCCTATTTTTCTGTTTCTTAGGTGTAATTTTTGGTTTTCAAATGAGGTTATCTTGTTTGACTGATTTTTGGAGTTGTTTCTTGGTTATATTATATGGTGGTTTCTCATGATATGAGCTGCCCAGAATCACAAATGTGAAATAGGCAGCTCTACAAATTGAACAAATGAAACAAAGGATTCAATATTTGTCTTGGCCCTGGAAAATGGTTTGGATACCAAACTTGGAAAGGATTTTACTCAGAGTTTCTCAGCATGTCAAAAGCCCCAGGAATGCAGGGGGAGAATTAAGTTGCTCCCCCCCCCCCCCCCGAGTTCTGCACCTCCAATCTAACTCATCACACCCAGGGGCTAATTCTAATTCAAAACAGTACAAAAAAAACGTACTGGGAAGTCTTCTAGTACAACCCCCTGCCTGCTCATGTAGGAGACTCATATCATTCCAGACAGATGGTTGTCCAGTGTTAGCCTCTAGCCCCTTAATCATTCTTCTTGAGGAAGGAAGGAAGGAAGGAAGGAAGGAAGGAAGGAAGGAAGGAAGGAAGGAAGGAAGGAAGGAAGGAAGGCCTTAAAACATCAACCCAAATATATATATTTGACCCTTAATACAGGTTGTCTTTAAATATGAGAGATTCTTAATATTTCATTCTCCACAGAGACCCCAAATAATGACTTTGTCATTTTGCCTCTCCAAAATTCATTACTCCTCTTTGCTTTCTTGACATGCATCTTTCTGTTTTTGCCAGCTGTTTCTTTTCTCCCTCATGGAAGCCCAGAACAAAACCCATGGGACAGGATTCATCCTCCTTGGTTTGTCCAGCCTCCTGAGCCATGAAATACACCTTTTCTTGGTGTTCGTTGCTGACTATTTGGTCACTTTGATGAGCAACTTCATGATCATAATCTTAATTCTCCTGGATTCCCGTCTCCACAGCCCCATGTACTTCTTCCTCAGCCAGCTCTCCTGCTTGGATATCTGCCTTTCTTCTGTGGTGGTACCAAAGATCCTGGTGAACTTCCTACGCCAGCAGTACACCATCTCCTACAACCAGTGCCTGGCACAAGCCTTCTTCCTGATTGGCTTTGCAGGATGTGAGCCGGCACTGCTGGCTGTCATGGCCTATGACCGCTATGCTGCCATCTGCCAGCCTTTGCACTATGCCCACCTGATGAGGAGCAAGGTCTGCATCCAGATGTCCGTGGCCGTTTGGCTCTGGGGCTTCCTGGATTCAGCTATCTATGCTGCTCTGGCCTCCAAGTTGGATTTCTGTGGACACCTCCTGGTTCCTCACATGTTTTGTGACGTCCCCCCATTATTGAAAATTGCCTGCAGTGACACTTCAGTCCACAAGTTGGTCAGTTACATCAACAGCACCTTGGTGGGCCTTGTCCCTGTCCTGCTCATCATCCTGTCCTATTTCTACATTTTGTCCTCCATTCTGCAGATCCGCTCCAAGATCGGCAGGCGCAAAGCCTTCTCCACCTGTGCTTCACACCTTGCTGTAGTAACACTCTTTGTTGGAAACGCTTTTGTGAACTACAACCAGCCCAGTGCTGGCTACTCTTTAGAGGTGGACACTTTGATCTCCACCATGTTTTGCATTGTCACCCCTATGCTGAACCCCTTGATCTATACTCTCCGCAACAAGGAAGTGAAGGGGGCCCTGAAGAAGCTTCTCAAAATCTAGAAGATGGGGCAGGCTTCATTGTGTGGTGTGCTGTTGTGTGTGTGTATATGTGTTCTCTGAGAAAAGTGAGATGGCTTCATAGGAACTGGTCAAAAAAAACAATTGCTACCAACCTGCCTTCCACTGAGGACCTGTTTGCTGCACGAGTCAAAAAGAGGGCTGTGAAAATATCTACAGACCCCCTCACATCCTGGACATAAACTGTTTCAATTCCTACCCTCAAAACGACGCTCTAGAGCACTGCACACCAGAACAACTAGACACAAGGACAGTTTTTCCCCCGAATGCCATCACTCTGCTAAACAATTAATTTCCTCAACACTGTCAAATTACTTACTAAGACTGTATTACTATTCTTCTTCTCATCCTTCTAGTACCTATCTCCTCCCACTTATGGCTGTATGACTATAACCATGTTGCTTGTATGTTTACGATTTATATTTTTATTTGTTTCCTAGTATGATTTGATTGCTTATTAGTAACCTATAACTATCACTAAGTGTTGCATCTTCTTCCCAGCATCCATTATGTTGTGGATGTTAATAAAATCAATGAACCGTGAACCTTTGTCTCTATGAATTTCTACTTTAACAAATGAGCCTTTAACTCATTTAACAGTAAATGTTTTTATTTACATAATAAAAACATAACAATATACAATTAATAAACAGCACTTAGTTACTATGATTAATTATCCTGTCAGCTATATATCTATATATATATCTATTCTCTCTAAGCTATGTTATCTATGACTATTCTTCCTCAGAAGAAATATTATAAACACCAGAACTGCTCTTCTAACAGACTTCCAAACTGCTCACAATTGTTTAACGGAAGATCCTAGAAGAGTTAAGACCTAAGACCTAAGTCCAAATAGCTAAGACGAGTGAAGATCAAAGAGCAAAGAGTTTCTATACTGCTAACTATGACAGTTAGGGTAGGACCCTTGAGATTCAAACATATTAGCTGTCCTCTGATTGGCTTATGTATCTGTCCATTCCAAAATCCATTAATAGGCACAGCTATAGAGAAATAAATTTTCTCTAACACATTAGCTGGATTAAAAGCAAACGCTCTCATGATCAGGACCCAATAAAATTATGGAAGACACAAATAGTATAGCTACAGAGATCCGGATGTCATACTCTCAGTACTTTCTTGCTCCTTTATTGAACCTTGTCCTTGAACCTTGAAGAGCCTGGTAGCTCAGCAGACTAAAAGCATTGTGATTAACACCAGCTGTCTGCAATTACTGTAAATTCGAATCTCATCAGGCTCAAGGTTGACTCAGCCTTCCATCCTTTCTAAGGTAGGTTAAATGAGGACCCAGTTTGTGGGGGCAATAAGCTGACTTTGTATAAATATACAAAAGTATGAAGGCTATTGCTTAACGCATTGTAAGCCGCCCTGAATCTCCGGAGAAGGGTGGCATATAAATCAATTTTTTTAAAAAAAACACTCTTTCAGAGATGTGTTTGTTTGTTTGTGCGTGCACATGTGGATATCAGATCATTTCCCCCCCAACCCAAGTCCTTACAAAATACAATAAAAACACACTCTCAGTATAATAAAATCCCTCAGCACAAAGTAGATGACTACTTGATAGCATAAAGCAGATGGAAAGTGTATTGTATATCAACAGCAATCAACTGATTCCCCCAAAAGTTCCTGGAAAAAAATTATTTGATCTACAAAATTGACAATAAATATATCTTAAAGCAGGAACAGGAGATTTATCTAGCAGTAACCTAGCGAAAGGGAACATGCGGAGAAATTAGAAACAACATTCTAAAATGTATTCAACAAGTTATCCTTTAAAAATATACATTTTACATTTTGCTGATCTTTTAGAAAGAAGTTAGGACTCCTAAAAAACTCAGGTTTTTTTTTTTGTGTATTTACGCTTCACAAGATGGGTTTGCAAATCCCTTTACATTAACAGCATGCAACGTAACATTTGAAAATGAGGGGAATTCATTGTTATCTAAATTTTCAACAGCCACTTCTGTGCACATCTCTCCAACTTATATCACAGCAGTTTAAAAAACAAATACCATATCCTAAACTGTGTCTCGCTTTGTTTTGTGGACCAGAGACAGGGTGAAAGAAGAGGTTTTTTTCCATTTTATCTGCATACCAGTTAACTCTTGGTGTATTGAAAGATAGTCAAGAACAGGAAAAGCTGTAAAACTGGACTGAGTCTTAAAGTTGCCAAGGCTGGACAAGCCTGGTTTAGATCTTTCAATCATCCTGTAAATTGACCATTTCATGAGGGAAATACAGAGAGGCAATAATACAACAGAGAGAATGTTATTTGCAGGGATCCCAAGGCCCTTCTTCTTTGGTCATAGCCCTTCTTCTTTGGAACATTATCAACACCACTCCTTCTATGTTAGTCTTTGGAGAGTTGTAAAGACTGGCTATTCCAAAGGCTTGAAGTAGGGAATTACTGTATGTAAACTGGGGTCTGTTTCAATATGGTTTATTCCTTCGTTTTCACAGGAGTTATTACAATTATAATTTGTGGGTTCATCTTGTTATCTCTTTTGTTGTTTCAGTGTAGTTTTTGGTTTACTGTAGAGAGTTTGTAAGCCTCCCTCAGTCTCCCTAGATTAAAGCATTATATAAATACAAGTAAGCAAATAAACAAGTAAATAATCATAATAGAAGCATGTGTTCTAGTCATGTTAATCATAATATAAGCATGGATTACACAACAGTGAGGCAAGAAGTTAATTTTGTTTATTAAGCTCAGCTTGGACTCCTCTCTGACTTGGAACAAAAGCAAATTTAACTTGTTGAAACAAACATGCCAGCACTCTCCATAATATGGCAAGATTCCACTCTGGTAAACACCAACTTCCTCACATTCCTTCTTTGTAAATAAAAAAACTTATTCATGCAACATTCAATCCTTTCAGTTAGTCTGTTTGGTTTCCCAAGTTCATACTACTCTATAAATGAAACATGCACACCAGTTTCTGAATATCAGAAGTCACTCTTGGTTGATACCGGTTTTTCTAAACTTTCACTGATAATGCTTTGGACAGTTTTGTGTCTTTACTTTTGGAACAAATGGAATTGGAAGAAGGTATCTTTGGTTATGTTAAAAAAAAAAAAAACACCTTTCAATTCTATTTCAACCCAAAAGAATTGTAGTGGTTTTATGATTATACTGGTACTTTTAAATGTTAACACTTTTTTTGGTAGGAGTAGACAAATACAACTTTGGTTTTGTGGTGAAAGTTTCATTTTTTTTCTTTTCAAATTCAAATCTTTATTGTCAGTGCACAACATATGTACAATGAGATTGGTTGAGCTCCCTCTTTTGAGTGCTTTCCTCAATATCAACAATATCTTATAGGTTGCCATGGAACCACAACAGGAAGTTGTGTCACCAAGTTTCTCCCAAACAGAAAGTTGGCTTTGGCTGTTTCACATTGTGAAAAAGATGCCCTATAGCTCAAAAGAAACATTTATTTAATATAACTTGCCCTTCACAGGAGAATCTTGCTAATCTTTATCCTAGCTTTGGCAAGTTATTTGATTATGGGGGCAGGGACTTGGTGTTCAAATCCACGTGCTATGGCAATATTTTCAAATAACATTAGGAAATTGTGGTCCATTATCCATTATCACAACTCATGGCATGTCATGTGTAGCAAATATAGTTTTGATATACTTGAAAGTTGTTTCTTCTAACTCAGTGGTTCCCACTGGGTATATCACCCAAAATTCAGTAAAAGTAATTTTTCTTTGGATAACGATACATGAGCCCATTACCCAATCTTATCAGGGACATTTAAATTGATCTAAAGTATTTTACCTACATGGAATAGGAAGGACATTTTGATAGAGTGGCTTTAGGTAATGAAGGGAAAAATTTAGAACACTATTTTAAGCAGCTCCTCAGCTGAACTAATATTGTACAACAGGGGTGTCAAACACAAAGCCCGTGAGCCAGATTTGGCCTGCAATGTGGTCGGATCTGGCTCACGGGGCCATCCTGGAAAATGTAAAGGGCTGGCCCTTGTCACTTCGGCTCGGTCTACCCAATGCAAAGAGGAAACAATGGGCAGCGTGGCTTTGGCCTGGTCTACCTAGTTGAAGAGGAAACATGCCAGCAGTTTGGGGAGTGGTGTCAAGCTGGCCATGCCCACCCAGTCAGCCATGCCCACCCAGTTGGCTACTCCTACTGCCCCCCTGAAGTCAACCACAGCCCTGATGTGGCCCTCAATGAAATTGAGTTTGACAGCCCTGGTGTATAACATACTGTAATTTATTTCAAAAAATTGTTTTTGTTTAATAAATATTTTTTGAGTATCTGAATTTTTCCAGTTTAATGACTGATCATAAAATTTTAGAACAAAACACAACCTAAAGGTTTTAAAAATTATCACCTGCATGGTCTATTTAGTCTACACAGAGATGTGTTTTATCCACAGCTGGATGTACCAAAGCCCAGCTGATGAATACAACTTGAAAAATATGTTTATGGTTACAGGTTCATCTAAGAATTTATTCGGAATGGAATCCAAGCAAATTCTCAGACTTTAAATGTTCTTGTGAACTGTTGCTATAAAATGAATCCATTCAGTTTCAATGAACCATTCAGTGAAAATTTCTCATGTTTCCATTCTGGTCAATTCTGATTTCCATTTTGTTTTCAAAGCTAGTGTTATACTTCTCTGAGCATATAGTGCTGTCTGGGCATTTTTACCAAGGATAATGAAATAAAACATCCTATACTATGTAAAGCATCTTCATATTTGTTTATCAACAGGACGTTTCCTGCGATAGTTCTCTATAGACCTCACTAACAAAATTGATTCTTTCTAATCAATTCTGTCTTTCTAGGCCCAAAATGATTTTTCACAGATTATGTAGAAAATAATGCTTCCATATTTTAAACTTTTATGGATTCATACATAAAATGATATAAAATGATACAAAATAAAAATAATTTGCCATACACAAAAATAAATAATGGAAAAACTTCA